TGCAAAAAATTTTGGCATATTCTGTTCAAAAAATTATCAGAGACAGCATACACAGCCATTGTGATTTCGATCAGATAATACGGTCGTAATGGTTTTTTCGATCAGATAATGCATCCCGCTGCTGCAGCACATGATGACGAAATGTGCATGCGTGCTAGTGCAGAGGCATGGAGTTGTCTGATCGAACAAACGGACATTACAAATGCAAGCCAAACCCAACCTCCAGATCTAGGGGAATGCTAGCAGGGGCAGCAACTTGTGTAGAGACCGAAATATTGAAGAGATAAAAAAGAAATTACTCAAAGATCGATCCGAGCTAATTTCATGGAATTATTGATTTTTATGTAATTTTATATGAACAAGTTTTAGAATGTAATCGCATAATATTAGTTACTCGTGTTTACATGCAACTCCATGCAATTCCATGCAATCATATGTATCCACCACATAATTAATAATACTGTTAATAATATATGTAATAATATATGCTATTCCATGAAATTATATGTATCCACCACAATTTTATTAATAATATATTTATCCACCACAGAATTTATTTTTTGTTTCTACAATGGTACCCCTTCCATATGTAGTAAGCAATTTCTAAACGCATGTTGGCCATCTTTTCTTTTGTCATCTTCTCCAAAGATTTAAAATCCTGATGTTGTGCTCCGAACTCTAACATTTTTACCGCGAAGATGCCACGGTCACACGCATTCTGTTGGGGTACTGGGCATAATTCGATTTCCCAATCGGCATATCTGTGCTTGCTGATTTCTGTAATTCCAGCAATGCCTTTAATCCCTCTAAGTTCATCTATCAGCAAACGAGTCATGTCCTCATTCGAAGTTATCTTTGAAAGAGAGTCAAGCACGACGAGGCAGCACCTCTCAAAGTCAGCCTTGGCACAGAACCAATGTGAACCCGTGGCTTTCAAATAATATACGTACTTAGTGTTCTTTTTCCAAGCTTTGTGTTAGTCGTTTTAGTCGTTGTGCCCATGCCTTAGAGGGGGGGTGAATAAGGCGTTTTAAAATATTTTCGGAGTTTAATAAAAACGGTGTTGGCAAATGCGGAAGCAATATATAAAACGCAGAAATAAAAGCATAAATAAAATGCACATCGATTTTATACTGGTTCGGGAACTCCCTACTCCAGTACCTCGAGGCTCCTCCTCAAGGATTTCCGAATCCACTAAGTCTCGGCATGGCTCAGATCTAACTCATTTGTTCGCTCCTTAACGAGGCCGGGTAAAACCTCTCTACAAGGTTTTGAAGGTCATCCGCGATGACATTTTCGCGAGGCTGAGGTAAGACGTCAACTGTGACGCACTCCCATTTTTCTTTCACGATGCGATCCTTTTTCCTCTTCTACAAGGCCGAGGTAAGCCCTCCCCACGAGGCGCTGTTAGAATAAGTGCCCTTCACTAGAGGGGGGGTGAATAGTGAGGCACGAGAATGTTTTTAAATTTTCGCGGAATAAAAATCGTAGGGATAAAGTAAAGAACGTAAAAAGTAAAGAGCGTAAAAAAGCGTAAAGAGAGCACACCAAGATTTATACTGGTTCACCACAACGTGTGGCTAGTCCAGTCTCCCGAGAGACTCTCTCGAGCTACACTACTTCCGTTAAGCTTACGGGTGCTTAACAAACCGTTACAACCTGAGAACTCGAGTCCCACGAGCCTCAATACACTTGCTCGGAGATACCGCACTCCAAGACTTCAACTCGAAGGAATATGCCCTTCCTTCGTACAACCAAAGGGACAAACCTCCCTTAAAGTGTTCACAACACTTAACCACTCAAGAACAAAAACTCTCTTAAAGAGTAGAATATGAGTAAACTAATTTAGATCAAGA